TTGGATCATCTCCTAAATGAATTAACCTGGCTTCTACAGAAAAACATGTTTTTATCTGATTTGTGTATTCTCTAAAGTGATGCATTGGGAATAGTGATTGTATTCACTTCTGTAGTTCTGTTACCACATGCCATGGCATTGTGTTCTTATCAATAGACTTTTGTAATTGTCTCTTTTTACCAACCTTTCTCATTATCTCACTATCCTATAACATAGTGAGACCCAATGTCCTTCTCTTTGCACCGCAAGGTCTTTGCCCATGTGTGAACTGCATTACTGCAAACCAGATAAAACCTTGTATAGGATTTACAGAGCAATGCAATGCAATTGCTTTTTGAATTGACATAGGTTATATCCCAACTCAAACAATTCACTTTGGCCAGCCTTGATTGTCTTTTAGAGTTATAGCAATGGCTAAACTACCCACTCTGCGTGCAATCCAAATTTCCTCTATGGGATAATACATTTGACATGACTTGACTCTACTCTTTTTAGGACTGTCCTCTCATAAAGACTATAATGCCAATATGGGACTACGGTAAAGTGAAGTGTAAAGTGAGTGACCTTGAACTTGACCTGTGTTTGGTGCCTCCATAGTTCATCATTAATGATTTATTTTGTTTTATTTTTATATTTTTCTGGCAAATGCTCAGATGCCTTATTAAAGGGGTCATATGATGCAATTTCAATTTTTCCTTTCTCTTTGAAGTGTTACAAGCTCTTGGTGCATAAAGAAGATCTGTAAAGTTACAAAGACTAAAGTCTCAAATCCAAAGAGATCTAAAGATAATCTTTATAAAAGTTAAGAGTCAACCACTCCTAACTAAAACGGCTCGTTCTAACACACCCCCACATATCTACGTCACGATGTGGGAAGATTTGCATAATGCCGCCCAAATGTTCACGCAAAGAAAGAAGGCGTAACTTTTATTCTCGCTGTAGTATTGTTGCTGCCGCCATGTCGTGAAGGCGCTGTGTGTTTCGTTGTGAAAGCAAAACTACTTTGTTTGGCCTTCCAAAAGAGGACGATATC